ACCCCTCCTTCAGTTTACTTCAAATGGGCAAAATTTATCTGTGTTCTGGTGTAAAGTAAGGAGTCAATGAAACAAGGTTGATTAATCATACTTGGTGTGGGTGGATTGCATCCAGCTATGATGGCCTTTACGGAGACGTGGCCCTCTGACGATGTGTTAAGTAGGGCATGTTACCTCTTCCACTGTTGCTTCTTCCGTCTCACTTGCGCCCAATGCATTTCTAGCGACTTAGTATCAGTTGATCGCAAAATAGGCTTTAGTTTGATAATCTTTAAAGCATGCCAGTCGCACGCTGGTGAAGAGGAATATCCATGGCTCATTCTCAAATTTATTAATGCCCCAAATACCATTGGTACGGCTCCTGTGGATTCACGCTATGTAAACTACAAGTCCGTGAATCCAAGAAAAATGTTCTTATTCATGGCAATTTTAGAGCGCTACTCATTGGCTTGGATGAGTTTCATGCCAGACTACCTGTTCACAGCTCTGACGCTTTTTGGAGACGCTGAACCTTTTTCGGTGTATAAACTGTCCAATTAGATATCGACCCAACCAGGCTTAGAACATCAGGTATCTGTTTTCGACTTCTACATTGCATGCAGCAATATTTTGAGACTTGTCGAACTCTTAAAATATAGCAGTGCTCCAAACGTTCAGTTTCAGTTGACTAGAAAGTTGGCTGGGTTCTGTCTGATTCCCAAAGGGCACACGAATACCTCCACTATGTTGAAGTAAGCGTACTCTGTGTCCTGTTAACTTCATGAGAGATGAAACGCCGATTAAATAAAGCATCTATTCAAAGGTATGAGCAAATGGGCCTTTGGTTCGATGGAAGCTTCTCAAGTCCTAAGACCGAATCCGTACAGACCTGTACCGATCGAGGAATCATAGACGTCGACTTTAGAAACAACCCAAAAGGGTGCAAATTGAAGTGGCTACTCGTAACATGGATGTCTAAACCAGTATGCTCTTCCTAAGCATTGCAATAGTGTTCAGTCTGAACAACGTGGTTTAAAAGTGCTCCAAAAGTTAGACAATGAACAAAAGGATGACAGCATCCCACCCTGCACGCTAGCCTGTCGGCCGATTGAGAGGATTGCGTTGCATAGAAAGACGGGATTCTAATTCAACAACGTCGCTCCATGAATTCACTGAAACTCCATCTTTTGCACACCACTGGAACCTACAATGCAATGGACTCCTTTGATCCTTTGTGTACGGTTTTTACATCACTAGTTTTATGCTACTGAAGTATGCTGCTTACCATGAAGCTCTTCAACAAAGTCCACAAACACAATTTCAACAAAATTCCCATTCTTTAGTGCCCAAATTTCCAAGTTTGTGATACTGCCAAAAGCTCCCGACCCTTCAGTTTACAATAAATATTATCATGTTGGTAATGAACGTCCGATAAACTTTTGACTATTTTACCAATTACAAACTGCCTTACACGCAGTACCAGTGAGTGGTGAGTGCGGAACTGCACTTGTAACACAACCGTGCACATGATCAAGAACTCTAGGCAATAAAAGCTTTCGACTGACTGCCTTGGGAAAAGAGTAAAGATTTTGGAAAGTATCTTGAGATTTTCTCAAGCACAGGCTGTTTCTGATTTTGTTAGCTCTTGACTACTAATGAGTAAGCAAGTGGTACGCGGTTTGGGATATTACTAACGGGTGCCGCCATGGGTGCCACCATTTGACATGCGACATATCGCCTCAGATTTCAAGTCAACTCCCAGCCGTCATTCAGTGTGATTCCGTTTTTCTTAAGAGCAACAACCGTGTTTTCCAGCCTTTCTCATCTTGATCAGTAAGCGTATTTCATTATTTTCAAATGCTTTTAATCATCCTGGCAAGGCGATGTTCCTAGTTGCTACAGCAGATGGTGGATTTGATCTCGGCAAATCTTATCTGGATTCCTTCAAGCTCACGTATTCGAGTGTTACTCTTTATGGGGTTCGTTTATACTGAGACCCACTCATCAACTTCTGTTCCTAAGTAGAACATGGGGAATGTGAATTTCACTCAGCTTTTCCCACCAAAATTTCAGCTGCTACGTTTTACCAAACTTCCCATAAGGACACACGAAATTTGGTTCCTGTATTTTTGTACTAAGAGGAACGAAAAACAACAAGAATTAGAGTACCAGAACAAATGCACGTTTTAGTAACTGACTTCATTTACTTATCTTGTATGTAGGTTAATAAGCATTCCGAAAGGGCTTCATTCGACAAAAGAAGATGCCTTCTATTTATTCTTGCTAAAAACATTTTCGTTTTTCAGTACGCTCAAATTAAGCCTACTTTTTGGATGACGAATCTTGTATACTTCTTATAGGACTCTTGGTGCAGTCCGAGTGTTGAAGCTGTTTAAGATTTGATTCGTCAAGGTTGGAACAAATACTGTGTTTAAGCTGAAAGGCAAATTCGTGTTGCGAAATGTCGCTTATATTCTTCCTACTCTACCTTTGTTACAGAATTTTTTTGAGTTTCACTATCAGACACAGGCTGCTGGTGCTCAGCTGTGTGCAGCTTTCCCGCATTAGCAAAGATGTATGGAAGTAAAGATGATCAAAAACAGGCATTCCTACAGAATCCAAAACCGAAGAAGGTTACTAAGAATCCCTGGATCGATTATGTGTTCTGGACAGATGACCGAACAACAAGACACATCATGGGGAGAAGTTTTACCGGATGGCGTATGTGCAACTTTATTTCTAATGTTTATTACCTTGCAGTCAAATTGTGGACATTCCACTTTGTCTTATACGTGATAATGCTCATAATCATGACTGGACTATTGATTATCATTTATCAGCTGATCATCAGCAATGATGAACCGTATTTGACGGGTATGAATAGCCCGTTGGCCCTTTCACCAGGTGAGACGATCTGGATACTTTCTGAAAATAAAGCTTTTATCTTTAGGGAAACTCCTTCTTTGTGTCAGTTTTATTTTAGAAACGATGTTTAGTTGAAATCTTTGCGTTTATCAAAATAAGTGGAATGATCAAAGGTCTTTACCATCAGCCGAGCAGCCAGAGCTTATATCGTCGGGGAAAGGATGGGTTTGGCGTGCAAGATACTGCGTTTTTCTAGGCCTCGGTAATCTGATACTCAGCTGAAAATTGAAACTCTATTTTGAGCGGTTAGATGACAGGCGAGTACCTGTTCGTTGAAGGTCATAGCAAAACCCTTTCGTACAGAGAAGTCTGATCAGACGTATGTTGGTATAACAGAAAATCCGAAGTCATCCTCACTGAGATTCCTATGTCGCACAACTGTCAAGAAATTGCACCGTCCTTACGGAGGGGTTCAACACCTTATTTCTAGGTACAACCCGCCTTCCAAGATGGGGTCCATCTGCTTGGCTGGATTCATTGCAGGAAATAGCGGCTAATTGACATCAGTGGTGTTCCTGTTACCAGCTTGTTTTTGAAATTTCAAAGGGGTTTTCGCCCCGTAAATAAGGGCATTCTAGGCTGGAAAGCCGAGAAGCATTGTACCGCTGTTTTATTCTTACTGGGAATGGACAGCTGTGTATATAATACGAAATTCAGGGGACTTTTGAACCTGTCACATCCCACTGATTAGGTTCAACACTTGACCATGAGCAGCGTTATAATTAAACGGTTGAGTGCGCATTGTTGATAATGCAACGGTTGCACAGTGCTTCTTGGCTTTTCAGTATCGATTGTCTTCAATTACAAGATGAAATCACAATTATGAACCACTAAATCCCACACACTACCATCAGGATAAAAATAAATCAGCGGAAGAATATGTCCATATGAGAAATGAAGCCTCCGGCACTGGTAAACGTACGATCCGTATGGTTTGAATCGCCCGGCCTGGTTTTGACGCAGTATGTGTGAATAAGTAAGCCCTTAGTAGCCGAAACCACGGTGTTTTAGGAGTTGTGTGCACATTACTTCGTCAACAAGCATACACTCAGTCAACAGTTGTTTTAAAGGGCATGCGTTGTGAATTTTATGAGTTGAACGTGAGCGGAGAAAATGAAGAACAACAACAGGCCCACGCACATGATACAAACTTTCGAAACGCATGAGAGATTTCAGCTGACTTCGACATTTAGTTATAACTCATTGTCTGGATTCGGACCCTACTGAGAGCATTTTGCGCGAGATTATATTCTGGATATCACGTACTTGAAATCGCTGACCAAATCAAGATGGCCGAATTATGTAGACAGGGTAAGCCGACCCGAAAGATGTGTCGAGCACAAATAATAGATAGTAGTGTATTTCGACTCCGGATATCAGTTCCCATCGTTGGCGCAGTGTCCCTGAGATAATTACACATTCAGTTTATTTCTTTTTTCCGCTGGCTCAAGCTACCGTAGTTTTCTTCATTGAAGCGAATGGGGAATTCGAAAGGCGGATAATCATGCGCAGGAAGCAGTAGTATAGTGAGTTCGTTAGCGTCGAACCGTTTGAAGGAATTGGGTCAGATACACATCGTATACGAGAAACCTGGTACGGTTAGCTTAGGGTCACTGATTTAATGGCTGAGTTTTACTAATCGTGGGTGTCTCTTTTTGGAACTCTCAACCTGGAGGACAGAAATCAAATAGACTGATTGGGCCTTCATGTTTCGAGGTAATCATTCACCGACTGATTACCTCTGGTTAGTTTCACCGTTTATATGGCTGGACCGAAAGGATGTGCGAGGTAGACGTTCTCCCGGCATACGTAGCGGATGTACCCACCAGCGTAACATCCAGTTTGGCTAGTATGTTCAAAAGACAACCTATATGGATTGCTGATTCGAACCCAGGCAACGCCTAGGAAGGTGGCGGCTCAGCGATCACCGGTTGCGCAGCGAACTCTATCCTCGACAGACGGGTTGGCATCACGACGGTGCCGTAGACGTTACTGTTTGGTGGAAGTGGCCCGGTATTCACGATTCGGGAATCAATTCCTTCTTTTTCTAGTCTATGGTTAAATCATCAGTCGTACCGAGGCTTCATCCCTAGGCATGAATTTTGGGGTTGGTCCGTCTAAACCTCGCACTAGCATTTTATATTTTGTCAACTTGAGACACATTCCAGATCATATGGCCTAACTGTTTAAACATTTTATTACGTACTTCTGAAAGGTCTGATATGAAGAGTTGAATGTTTTTAGGATGCAAACTATTTGAGAGTAAACAGAAGCCTTACGACTTCCGGTCTAGTAGTTTTGTGAGTAGCTTCTTTTGTGAAGTTATACGGTGGTCTCCAATATGGTCCTAATTGGAACATCAAGTGGCCTTCGTTGCGCCCATTCAGTTGAAGAATATCATAAACGAGAGATTCATGTGAGTCTCCCATGAAAACCAAGATGATATGCAAATGAGTTTATTTGGGTCCTTGTTTAGTGAAAACATTTGTCTAGACCACTTTAGCGACCCAGTTGACACACAGAGCTCAAACGAGCGCTGCAGATTGAACCATTGATGTTCCAATCATCCATCCATGTGGTATTCTAATGAGATAAAAACGCAACAAAGGTTTATTTCTCTCGTCAGTCTATCGTTTCCGTCACGAGTAAAAAGAATGAAAAATCCATAAACTCGGAATGAGTAACAGATTTAAAGTGAATAAATTAGCCCATTCCAAAACACTGGTGAATAATTTCTTTGGAAAGTTTCCTAGAGTAGGTAGAGTTACGAAAGTCGAAAGTTTGGCATGAAAGGGGTTAAAAGATCGGAAATATAACTCTAAAAGTGTTCGAATTCGAGTTTTAGGCCGGTCCAACAAATACTCCAAGGTTTTACACAAAGATAATGGTTTTCCTCCTGCAGCTCAGGGTCAGAAGTGTGGGAAATCGCATTTCCTGGAAGCATTGTTGGGTGAATGTGATTCTCACGATTTAGTAGAATTTTACCGTAAGATTTCCGGTCTATCATTGGTTTGATCTGAAAGAAGAATAATAATCATATGAGTACCGTTCACTTTAGCCTTTCTAATAGACAGCGAAATATCCTAGTGATGGACTGGCCTGTACAGAGCCCAGACAATATCCTGTGCAACTGATGTGGTCTGTATTGATGAATCTCGTGCATAACGGTTAGCGAGCAGAAGGCACGCATAGAACATGTGCAGCATAATCAGAGTTATCTTGAAACACCACCTTTAATTTGACTAGGTTGGATGATTTTCTCACCTGGCCTGGGTAGCTCTTTATGTCCCCGTTAAATAAGGTCGTTTTTTCTGAATTTCGTTCACTTTATGTATCCATTCCATGGTCAAATTATTTAAGCGACAGGTATTCCAAATTCGAATGTTCCAACTTGAAAGAAGGTGGAGTAATGAAAAGGATGGTTCCATTAGTGTTTTCCACTCTGTTCAACTATGGACAAATGTTAAATCTATCCGGAAGTACTCTATATGGATACAGTACGTGGACGAAAAGCTGAAGGTATTGATTAAAGGTGTGGTTCGATAAGTTGGTAGGAAAAGCACGGCTCATTTAAATTCTGCTTTTGCCCTCTTCTGCAGAAGATGCTGGCATTTATTTTGTTTTATCCCCTTTGCAAAATAGCAATACGTTTCCTTTTGTGCTATTTCAGGTCTTGGAATGCGGCCTCGGATCGATTTCCGCACTGCGTTAATCGCTTACGAAGCATCTGATCCACAAACCTATATGCCCTATGTTCAGAACATACGCACCTTTGTTTACCTTTACGAAGAAGTGAATATCAAACCACAAGACGGTTTCGCAACGTGTGAACAAAACGTCAAATCACCGGATAACATGGACTTAGTGTGCAAGTTCTATCCAGTCGAAATGGGCCTCTGTGTGAAGGAAAACAATTATGGTTACGACAGGAGTCAGCCTTGTGTTGTGCTGAAAATTAACAAGGTGCAGTCCGAGTTCTCTTCCTCGTATGTTTTGCCCCGTGGTCAATCACAAACTACCGGAAATATTATCAGCTACATATAATGGGTAACTTGCACGCTAGTGAGCTGGTAGATTGTGCGAACTCCCAGGACCGATGATGGACGACCAGATCCGTAGAACCCGGTACAGGTTTTGTTGTGTTTTTGGGTCCTCGCATCGCTTTCAAAGCTTTTGACCTACATGGTACTTGACTCATCACGGAATTCATCATATCACAAACCAAATGTTCCATCATCCCTGGGTTTCCTCTTGAAATAACCGTATTAAAAAAGCTTTTCTGGAGCCTCAAGGTGTCTGCATCATATACCCAAGAATGATGGACATTCAGTTTAAAGAGGGTTGAAGAGTTCAGCAGTGAATGAGGTACGTCCGCATATGCGGCGTCAGTTCTTGCTTATAAAGATACAGTGTGATGTTGCAATTAGTTGGAACTCTAAGCTTTGCTTTACCTAGAGCTGTTGATATTTTTAGCTCTTGAACCCCAAGACCTTTTACAGCGTTAGAATGCACGCTAAACTCCTGGCGTGTTGGCGAGCTGGCCCAGGTAAGCTGCGTGAGAACACAGCAATGCTTATAAAACTGTATGTTTACTTTTGACTCCAGACGAGTAAAACTAACATAAAGGCAAGGTACATTCCATTCGGACTTCTCTTTTTAACCCGCTTGCTGACCATATAGGAGAAGAAAAGCGCCTCACTGCTTGTTTTGAGGAGCATAGAGCCCCGAAGTGGATGCAGTGAAGATTGGTTTCCAAAAACTTGATCCATCAAACCTTGTTTTCTGATGCTGTATTTTCGAGTGGGGTTTTTTAGTACTACGCTGGAATATAGAATGCAAACACAAATACCCTGGAGCTGTGATTTATTTTCTCTCGTCAGTTTATTTTTTGGCACAACGGATGTGATTTTTGGTTGGTAGAACGGGTGATTTCGCCGGTGTTTTTTGGAATCTTTACAACATCAGGCTCAGTTTTCGCTTAAGGGGGATAAAACAAGTATCGCCATTTCCAAGTTAGCCCACTTCGTATTGGGTGGGTATTTTCCAAGTCGGTTAGCCTCAATTTATTCTGATTTCGTAGGATATTTTGATGGAGACTCCGTGCAAGGAGCTCACAGTGGATTGTAGTCAGATCTCAGTTGGTCCGCAAACGTAGACGATGATTTACCCAACACTGCCTGTAAGATTATTTAGAAATCTCCGGTTGTTTAGCACTGGCCTTACTCTTCTGTGGCATCCTCCGGTAAACGTAGTCCCCCAGCTTTTTACTACTCTGATTTTCTACTTGAACACCAAAATGTACGTAAGTGGAGCCGCTCTCTCACTTCTATATCAACTTGGTGTCAAAGAGATACTCAAATGTATATCAGCTGAATCTCCTATTTATAATGGTCCACAAAAAAGCCCGCATAACATTTTGCTCGGAGCAATATCCAGGATATTGGGATATTTTTTAGGACCCAGATCTACTCATAAGTAGATCGACCTCTTGAACTTGAACTTGAGACTACCTGTGCGCAACACGTTCATTTCAAAAGTAGTATAAACAAGCAGTTCAGCGACAACTCCGCTGAAGTGCCTTTTTACCCAATTATTCTGCACTTAAGCGTATAAGCCAGTCATAGCCAGTGAGTGTTATCCTGCATTTTCATCCAGGGCATCCTGCAGATGGATAGATCCTGATGAACCACGATTTACTTAAGAGCAGACTGATGTGTCGCACGATGTAAGATAGAAAAATGCGACTGGTGAACAATGTCAGTCATTGTTTTAACCGCTAATTTATACTGATTTCGGACGGTTGCACAAGCCGAGCTCCAAGTCTCCCATCGCTACGCGCTATACGCGTAGTTACTCGATCCCATTAGTTGAGTTAATCACCCATAGCGACAACACTAAGACCTTTTGGTGCCCACAGTTACGACTCTGTACGAATAATGCACTAGCTGAGGTTTTGAAAAGTAACTTTTGCTCCGCTGTGTCTGTTAATGTCCGCATAAACTGCGTTATTGCACGTCACCCATGAGTGAATCACTATTATGCCGCGTGGATGGTAACTGTCTACAGCCCAGTTGTGAGTATTGCTGTGGGCTTTCTCATGAAGTGCTGTTCAGACAGTAGATATAAACACTAAAATGTACACGATATATACGGGATACCTAGCTTATGTATTAGGTGACCATTGATTTCATGTGCAAACGACAGGTTAAACCTTCCAGGATTCTCTCTTCCTTCCAAGTCGTATTGTTTAATGAGGGATTTTGCAGTTGACATCTGCTTTTTCTGGCGCCATCTACTATTTCAGCTACATCTACTTTACCTAATGTATTCATTGACCTTGATCGATTTTTCCACTCCAGTCTGGCCATAAATATACCTTACAAAGATACTCATGCACTTTCCTGATGAACGGAGGGTATGTAGACTCCAAGCAAATTAGTATCCACAGTGTAAGTTGGATCAGACAATTGCGGTCTGCAAGGTGTTGGCTATTTAATGACTTGTTCCCCATGTCAAACTGATCATTCTGGCGTGGAGGGCCTGCTTAACATGTTTCTGATTCTGAATGCAGGTGTATGGATGGCTACCTGATATTGTCAATTCATCGTTATCACCCAACCCTCTCGTCCGTTGCCGTGGCCAGGTATGTCCATATTCACTCGTTTTTTGTTATCCTCTTATCACTTTTATGGCTAGTGCTCTTCAACTACGTGGTTTCCATAGCATATGGTTGTAGGCGTCACCAGGATGTTGTCACGAGGAAATGGAATCACTCTAGTCGTATCGCATCTTATCCAGGTGTACTGCGTTGCCTTTTCTATGGAAACCTATTTACAGTTCTAACGTAGTTTGATTTGATATGCTGGGGCCAAATCGGATGCTAGCCCATTACGAGATGATGTAAAATTTCTAATGTGGTGTTTGACATGCAAAAGTTAGTCCAAGTTACGGCGTTAACACCAAAGCTTTTAATACCTCAGCGAATACGTCCCACCAGATACCTACGATTGTTTAGCTGATGTTGATCACTGGACGTGGGATCGACACAAGCCCATAAGAAGCTACTCTCCATAGAAGACTGATTTACGGACAGCAACCAGCATGTGCAAGGACCGACTAATTGGTCTCTAGCTGAAACGATTACGTAACTTACTTTTTAGCTCGTTTTAGTAGAATACTTTTTCGTCCGTTTGACAACATCAGGACAAACAAGTAAATGCTCTTGCAGTCGGGTCGATTAGCGTGCTTGTTTGAGAAACACTTCGAACCTCCTTCATGTCCTGTACAATATTGTAGCGATATTTTATTAGACTGGTAAAGTACGTGCTTGTGTAACGTGTGCTATATTTTACCAGTCCGAACTTCACTGGTGTTTCCTAGAATTCAATAATTTGTCTACACAGTTTTCGGGTAGCTCCTTGCTATCAGGAACCCAGCATATAGACCAGTGTTCTGATGCATCTTTAAGTGAGCAACAAATTCCATTCTTTTGGAAGACCACTGATCTATCACCTAACGGTAATCCGTTGCTTTTCAGCTATTAAGTTTGCACCGTACAGCCGATTTACGTGGAACTGTTTTCATTTAGCACTCATTTGATAGTTCGTGCACTGTGGTGCAATATGTGATTTTTATTGTTTTTTTTGTCCTATAAGTAAAGTCATCCTATGCTGAAAAGCCGAAAAGCACGGTACAGCTGTTTCATTCTCATTAGGAATTATCAGTATTTCGGATTTCATGAGACTTAAGAGTGTCTCGAGTCAACAGCCTCCCGGTTAGTAGTATGGACACTTAACTCTTCGGTTACGAGCGGATCATTGCCAAATCTCCTCACAAGTTCGTCGGAGGAAGAGCAGTTTTACAGTATGAAGTGAAATTTCCTTCTGAAAAATTGTCCGCAGTCCAAAACGTTACCACGTGTTGTGGCTTTCGTGATTGAAGGATGTCGTGCCTAAGTGCATGTTATTCACCCCGGTGATCAGCTGCTCGTAGCCCAACGGTTGAGTGTTCAAATTACTAGCCTGAAGGTCGAAGGCTTGAGACACCCTGGAGTTTCGTGAGATTCGAAAAGCTGATGATTCCCAGTTGGAATGTAACCATCGTAGGCTGCTTCTTGGATTAACAAAATAGAGTGCCCGTACTTACAGGACGAAATCTTCATTTAACTTCCCGAATTTTCTTACACCACCAATGCCTTGCTACTGTTATTCAGCCAGTGAGGATAACATGCGCAGAACTGCTGCTATTAAAAACTCAATAATCAGTGGTTGGTCTGATCATGTAGATGACTTTGACGCTTGCTAACTCATACAAACGTCTTACAATAACTTGATGAGGTGAAACTTCGGTAGTTGGCTCAAAATATTGACTCCGCTGGTTAAGGGTTTACTTACATTGTGTGATATTTTTGAAACCCATTCAAGGGGATTAGAATACTAGCAGCAAAGCTTTTGATAGGTCACAAGATTTACGGTCACGTAGGACAATGTTTGAATTCATTGAGACATACCTTCGGTTTAATTCCCATCAGTAGAAAACGACGTTTTCTTATGTTACATTGGAGCTCATTTCAGTTATTCGGTCAGACCCTATGCGGATCATAATGCTTGGGCTCTTTCGACTGATATCTGGTAGCCAGGATCAATCCAGTGGCAGAATGGATTAGCACCGGTGATTTCTTTCCGTATATTACACCTAATCAATAACATTTCACAAATCCATGTCTTTCTCACGATATTTATGGCACTTTAGTATTCACGGAAGATAGTGTGATTTTATGGCGTCAGCCCAAGGGACAACATCCTCATAAATTTCGATGCATAACTAGCTTTACCATGGGATATATGGGGTATCACTTGGACTGATTCGCAGGCTAGCCCTATTTGCCTGGACAGCCCTCAAACACCACCGCTTTGATTCACATGAATCATGGTGATAAAATCTCAGAGGGCGTCTAGTAAAGCTATGCAGGCTAGATTGCTTCTGAGTGAAGGCGAAAAGTGAACCATCTTGACTGTCCGTAAATTGGTTCATCAAGTGTGCCTCGATTTTCTTGCCTTTATAAAATAAAACATTGGGTTGCCGATAGACCTGGTCATAAAGCTTGGAAGTTGGCTGTTACCAGAGGAAAAATTTCTATTAGCTAGTCAGTCAGCCTATAGTTAGTACTTGTAATATCGTGGGTGGCCGTCTATTGGTTACGCCTGCATTGATCCTGCCAGACTACGCGAAAGGGATAAGACAGAAAACTGGGGACACGGCCGTATTGTTAGGAGAAAACATGCAGAGCCTCTGCATAAATATGTAGGATGACTGAATGGCGAAATATGGTCGTTCACCTGTTCGTTCCGTACAGCCAATGGTGGTGTTCCGGTCGTGAACACTCTCAGACCCACTACGCTAGCCGTATGTTGCTAAGCCGTGTTTGGCGAGAGCCGCCAACTCACCTACTTTCCGGACGTGTCGAACCGATGGTGACCTTGGGGATGCGTCACTCTCTGCACATGTGCTTTTTTCCTGTCTGGGCGCGTCCTGACAGTACTGTAAATCAATATTGGAAACCAGCACACCAAGCAGCGCACGAGGGGTTCTGAAACTTAATCACCCGGAGTAGAAAAAAGCTTGGAGTACATCGTGGACCCAAGGAATTTGCTTGTTTTAAGTGGTGCACGATGCAGAACAATAGGAGATCCTTTCATTGTCACTTGATTGAGTGACAAATGCTATCCGTAAAATTCATGAAGAATAGACATCTCTTCAGTGCTTGTCATCTGCGAACTCCAGACTGATTTCCAAATGAGTAGTGTGTTTGTCGACTATGTCTTGACGGAGACTTTGTCACATCTTCACACATTTTCCATCCTGATATCATCCCCGTGGGAGTGGGCTTTGTTCGTGCTTGCCGCACTTATTTATTTTGGCTCACACTACATAATTTCCAGAGGTTTATAGAATGTCATGAGACAGTTCATCAACTCACAAGAAGAACACCGCTTAACAACCGGTTGCCGCCAACAACTAGTATTTCATTTCACAGTACGTTTATGTGGGTTTTGTACTCAACATTTTGCTCACTGGTTTCAATCGTTCGGATCAATCTTCATCAGTGGTATGGTGCTTTAGGGCGAGAAACTATTCCTTAATCACACTTCCTGCCCTTGTCAGGAATTGTTCGATAAGCTCTATTCACAGTCTTCCATATCTTCCGTGTTCGGTGCATCTGGTTCCACTTGGACTATATTCTCACGCTGTTGATAAGATACCACCTACCGTGGTATCTGTGTTGTTTGTTCGAAAATACCGATCGCTTCAGAAAACCGCTGATGTACTCTTTGTCTTTTTTCATCAGAACCCACAAGATTTGGAGAATTTTGGCGTCGTGCACTATTATCCGAATGTCACTGTTGACGGTGTCGTATAGTAAGTGATATAAAACGTATGACAGTATGCAATGGTTAAATATTCTCTCGAAAACCACGTCTTTTGGTAGCCTAGTGGAACTAGAATCCCGTGTGGACAACTATGATCAGAACTTGGTTCTTCACAGAGCTGACCTACCGATGACTGTTGTACAGGTTTCTCCTATAGGGAGCTGAGTTCCGCGAAGTCCTTACATTTTATTTGGACTTTTTAGATAAGCACTCGAGAGACGCACAACTGAAAATTAGGAAGCAATTATTAGATTCATGAGTTATCTGTTCAGGCCTAGTCAATATTCAACGCTATTAATTCTTTCTGAGCTGTATTCTTAATGTTACACCCCTTGGGCTTTGGCGCATTAGGCTGATTTTCTAACGTATTTCCCGATGTTAGACAGAAATCCTTAAGCTTTATGAGGTCACGGGTATGGTTGGTAGGCTTCAGAACACGTCAAATGGTATTTAACATTGCCACATTAGTGGTAGTTACTATGGCATTTCCTGTTCCCATCATCACATTCGCCACAACCGTCATCTTTTCCCTTAGCTATGATAACGAGAGACGTGCTGATACCGCCAATAATGGTAGTAGGAAGCGAACGGAGCTGTTTTCCCAAAGTTACGCCAGTTTCTGAGATCACTGTCGGGTCAGGGAAAGGATGGAAAAAGAAACATCTTAACGGGTAGGATGGGTGGTCTCAGCAGCGGCATGTGCTTGTCTGAAGTCACCATTAGGTGATTGACGTGATAAGTTATTTTTGGTTGCACGATTCACAAGTTTAATTGAGGTTGTTAGTTGGAGGAGGAAAGTGCTTCGCATAAATACCTGGTCGCAAGACAGCGGTGATTAACAACGTACCATTGGAGCCGTCTAAATAAGCCGAAAGCAAGTTGTCAAACCTGTTTCGTCTCTCAGCCTACATCCATTAGGACCTTTGCTTCCTTGGTCCACTGTTTGCAACGCAACTCAGATAAGAATGTTCTTCCCTAGTAGTTAAAGTGGAATTACTGTGGTTATCGTCAAGTCTGAAAGTAGAAATGACATGAGTCACCAGTGAACCGTTACTTTCTTTCCCAGCAGGGTCCAGACCCATGGAAAGCAGATCGACTGGGCAGTTAATATTTCTTTTTAGATACCAATTCCCAAACTTCAAAGCAATAGTTTTCTCTGAAAATGGCTGTGTAATTTCGATCTACTGCTAGCCGGTGAGTCAAAACAGTGGATAAGCTGTACCTAATCTACCATGACTCCTCAACTGGGGTGTCTTCTACACTCTGTCGCCGTTAGTTTGGCCCTCGGTGAATGCGGATTGGTGGTGTGAATTGTCAGTCGAATCGCAACCACTTGTCAACGATGCAGAAAGTTTAATAATGACTACTTACTTTGAAGACAACTCTGTCCTTTGAACATATACACAAAATTATGTAAAGGCACGCTCTCAAGCAGCCGATTCTCCCTTTGGAACAGTTACCTATCCTATTTTCAATTTTTGGACTCTGGAAAGTCCATGACTCCTGTTTATTAGTAGTCTTGAATCAACTGCACTGCAAATGGGCCACTAAGCTCTCCGCTACAAATAAGAGTTGGAACCGACGTTGGTCTCCGCTCGTTTTCTAAAAGAGCAAAATAGGCGAACTTTTATTCACGAATACAAACTCAAAGTGCCACTTTTCAGTCCAAAAGCGTTCATTCATAGACGCTACAGTATTTTCCTTGCCCAACTCAGGTCATAACTGATTCAATGCCACATACGGCGGGCGAAACTACTGTGATAATCGTAACACACCACTCGTAAGGTTGCTGACAACTATTGTACAGCCCACGACCGGTTGTGTTTGTATGAGAATGGCTCTACAGGTAGGCAGAGTCCTCATGTTTCCGACAGACTTATGCGCTATTTGAATCAAAATTTTAAGAAATTAGCGAAACACTCATTTACACGCCAGTTTGGTATTAATGGAAGACTCACCTGGAACCCAGCTGAGTGGTGTATTACGTTTGTACAATGTGTCACGATATCTCGAATGTCGTGCTGACCAAAACATAAGGCGGCCTAGTGCGGCGCATTCACTTTCTTAAAACATCATAAACGAGAGATTCAGCTGAGTTCGAGGTGAGTCTCCCGTCAAAACCAAAATGGTATGTAAATGAGTGTATCTTGTTATTTGAGGCAATTCCCAAGCAAAGAGTCTATTCGATCTGATGAAGCGCGATGATTTGTCCGAAGATAATGATTAACTTCAGCTATTTGGATCTATGCCCGAGTCACCGTATACGTCCACTTCCCCTGGCTAAGGTAGAGCACAAAAGTCTATTGGTGGATAAACAGAAGTAAATTCCAGCTTTGTGGTTTATTAGAGCTGGTTCCCGTCTTCTGAAATGAATAATATTCATAGAGCCACCCAGTCAGTCCAAGGAGTATTGCCGGCAACTGGAAGTTCTCAAGCATTTGAAAATAAAGTTTTCTGATGTTTCAGATGTTAGACATTTCGAAAACATTTGTGGATTGATGGTGCACGTTCCTTATCAGTGGGGAACAGCAGTGTATATTGTGCATTCAGGTGCCTACATTTTCAGTTGAGCGGCTTACTTATACTCTGTTGAAAATGGTTCTCCGTGGCGTGTTCCTAACACATAATAATCTGGGCTGCTTGAGCACATATGTGCGACCGACACGGCAATTCACTCAGGCGTTTGACGGTAAACATTCATGTTTCAGTCAACCAGTATTTGCCTTATGTGGCTAAAAGAAGTGAGAAAGCAGTGTTTGATCTGCCAAACTTATGAGCGTTGGAGCTGATTAAGCGTTTTGGATACACGTCTCAATGGGGTAAACCCTTGCCGCATTTCCCGCAACCCACTGATGTTCTCCAGGTGAATTTATTCTGGCCTACTCAGTGTGGAACCAGCATAAGAATCGGTGCTGCCGTATTCAGTTTTATCACGACATTCATTCTAGGATGTACCGTGTGATCACTTTGGTAGACTTAACTATCAAGCTACCCAATGGAAATGGTAAAACTATTAGATCTCCTTTTTGTATCGCATTAATTTGCATACCCTGACGAATCACTTGAATCTTTTATTTAGTGTTCAGATCACCATCCAGTGTTAGTCATTTTCAGGATTAATTCTTGAGAACTAGTAATTTATTCAATGCTCTGTTGGCGTTTTTCAACGTTGACGATCACATGGGAGCTACGAATCACACGTTTCATTTTACCTCCGATCGGTCTCCCACATCTACTGGTCATAATGTTTCATGTACAGTTCTCCTACAAAACACATTTGCACCTCTATCTCGTTCATCTAACAAGCCTGGCTTATTATTCAACCGCTGATGGGAAGGGAGCAGAGACACCGCAATCTAGAATGAGCTGTTCATGCGCCCGGACGAATATTGAAAGAGTCCTCAAGATAGATATCCAAAAGAGCATATTTTGGGCTCATAGTCTCTTTTGTGTAGGGACAGTTTCGTATTGAGTCATTGAAAAGCCTCAGGAAAAATAATGTACGGCTGACGAGGTGATTTTTGAAAAAAGCCGATAAAAATATGGTTTCTAACGTTAACCTTTCAGTTCAGAGTACAGGTGTCCAGTCGTACGCCTTATTTGGCGACTCTGAGATATGTCGGGGTGCCTTCTTTGATCACATAATCATTCGTACATCAATGAACTCTGGTGTTACATATCCTTAATAGCTTGGAAATAAGATTGGCTCCTTGAAGCAGCACATGAGCAACAATCGTAGTGGCTTACGTCTGTTGACACAGATAAATGCACATAGATCCCACTGATATTAGGCACTTCTCGTCCTTCTGCTCTGGGTAACCTTTGTAACTGAACGCTCAATTTGGCTATTTATTGTGTGAAAGCCTTTTTTAGTCGGTCTTTTGTCATCCGATCCACCATCCACATCCTTCTACTTGGGAGAATATTCCATAGTATACTTTGAGCCGGGTGCTTCTGCTTTTATCCGCTGCAGCCAGCCATTAGGTAAAACAGCTAGTGATCGCAACTGATCTCCCTACAAGTCCACACCAAGCATTGGGCTCATCTTTCGCCTTTATTAGCAATCATTATCGGTGTGCATCCACAGTGTACCTGAAAGTTAACTCCGATAATCCAGTATGTGGTACGGTCAGTTACTACCCCTCGAGAAGTGTATGCTGGACGCCCCTGTATCATGGATCGGACGGGTGAACAAGTTCACACCTTGAGCGATATGGCTAGTTTACCCGATCTGGATGTGTATTTCCCTTGGCATTTTGTACAACTGATTCGTCCCTGGATAATTCTAGCAGTTTTTTAATGATTGTCGGGACCTTTTGCTTATAACAGGACCGGCATTGTAGATATTCATTAAGCATGTGTGTGAAGCGCTTCTAAGGCCACCAACTTTCAGAGTTTCGGAGGCCTAATTAAGTTCAATAAGCTGTACGTTTCGGATGCTCTTTCCACCTGAAAATACTTGCTCAAGAACACTGAAAATTGTATAAGTTCATCCAGTCTGATACTTTGGTGACCGAAGGTTATTCTTGTCTAGTAGGCAAATCGATAAGTGAAACAAATGTAAACAAACCAACACTATAAACCTTGCACCGTACAACCGCATTCTGATGTCGGTGTGCTTACCACTGGAACGTTCTGAGGTTACGAGTGTTTATCACATGTGATAGAGTTGATATAAGTTGTTAACACGAGGTGGCAAGAGATTCCACTGGAAACTTGCTGCGCCAGTTTTGCTCGATTTTGGCTTCCAGTCATCTCGTGGCACTAGGAATTCGAACACGTATTATTAAATGCAAGTCTGTTTTAACTACCTTAGTTAAATTGTACAGCACCTCGCCCCCTGTCTTCATCCACACTTTCACGACTACCGCTTCCATCCCTTCCTTAAAAGCAGAATATAGACAGTTGACTTCTAAAAGCTGCATATGGGGACCCAACCATGATTTTGTGGTCATCGAAGGAACGTTTCCTGAGCTCTAAAAAAATCCTAAAATGTGGTTTTAGTTACTGTAAATCCTTTCTTCACTTGGTTTCTGCCGATGGCAAACTGAACTTTTTGGTTGACATTTTTCATGATCACTGTATATCACTTCCTTCCGTCCACGTCACCGTGGGATGTGACTCTACTAATCGGCGTGTATTCTAGTATGGCAGTCGAGTTCTCCCATGGAGGACATCTGAGTCGCCGCTGGGTACGCTCATCACCTCAGTCTAAATAGATTATCTGGTTACTTGAGACCCTAGGCTAAAAGATTTTCGGAAGTCCTTCATATTCTTTGTAGTTTGTTTGAAATGGTTGGGTATATATCCTTCATCGGCATTTCCGACAGGGTAGATATGCTACCTCTGTCCACAGTCTACATCGATTGTGGACTACAGTTGATTCTAACAGACTATTTTGTCTAACTCATCACCAAGGGCCAATAATGAGGGTAGTGCTTCAATCGTGACTTCAGGGGACCATTAGTTTGATTCTTCATCACCGCACGTGTGTCTTGCTCATGACTTGCCATCGATTAGATCAGTCATTTTGCATCCTGTCAACAAAAGGAAAATGTTCAAAGAGTTCTATACTAAATCTAAACTGAATCAAAACCAATAATAAGCGTCAGTGATGCCATGCTTGGGTGGTACCCAATGAAAATCCAAATGTCCCAGTTGTAAGTATGACGGGTGGTCACAGTAGAGTTCAACTTCATTTTACTTTACTTTAATAATACGTCAGCAAAACGCCCCTTGTTAAGGGCCCCATAGTTCGTTGCAAAAAAAACTATGCATTTGCAACCAGCTACTCGAAATATGAAAGCCATTGCCAGGATACTCAGTTGCGCTGATCATTGCCGTCTCCTTGGATAGAGACCCCGAGGCGGGACGTATCAGTGTTTGGGGCCATTACCAAAAATAGCCCTCAATGACGCCCATGCATCCAAGCAATTGCCTTCAATGCATAGCTTTCCTCCTAAACTCCCCAGTTAAATGTCCACTGATGGCTCTGCGTTCGCGCGTAAACCACATCCATTACCACCCCCAATGCGCAGCTATCTACCCCACATTCCCAAACCATCGGTGAACGAAACTGTGGCAGGCATGACACTGTGCAGCAAGTACTCGGTTCTTTCAGCTGATGATGATGGTACCCAAAAAGGGACGACAAATCGCTTTATCCTACTTTCTGTCAGTAGCTTAAGTTCATATCGCTATTCTGTAACATGATAGAAGAAATGCAAACAAAATGATGAGTTAACAAGCCTAATCAAGTTCTGGAAGCTTTCTGATACCGGTTTTCAGCAGTGCCCAGCCGGTCAAATATGCGTTTGGGGTCTAATGAAGGATCTACAACCGGACTGCTGACCGCCGTAAACCAAACACAACAAGAGCAAACGCGAGGGTTTACCTGAGAAACGACTCACACTGGGGTGACTATACAGCGAAACGGAATTCTTCGCCTGATGCGCACCATTTGGGATATGTAAGAGTTCCGGAAGTGTTAAAAAATGGCGATAATTCTTCTGTATGTGATGGAAGGAAACCGATAGGAGACATACAAGTACCCCAAAATAATGCTAATGTTTACAGAAAATAAGGCTACAGTTCATAGGCTGTCGCTGGCATTATGAAATGCAATCTAGAATTGGAACTGACTTACTATCTGACTGACTCAAATCCACATATCAAATTTAGCATGAGTCAACTTCCGATACACTGCCTTTCGTACACTGCATGACACCCAAATTCGGAGGGAAACTACAAGCGACATTGTATGAGAAGCCAACTGACACTGGTTTGGTTTTGTACTACTCGTCTGCCCACCGGAAGTCAGCGTTCGCTAGAATAGCCTCATCGTTGTTTAGCCTAGTGGGGACCCTGTGCACACAAGAAGTTGATCGCACAGCAGTTCAAATTGAAATGAGCAACAAACTTTAAGGTAGTGGATGTCCAACTGAATTGATTAGATGTCACTCACTCAGGGTGCAGGTACCGGTGGTAAGATTCAACAGAGAATGGCTTTGGACAAAGGTTATTCCATATAAACCAGAACATATGAAGTCATTCGCAAGATTTTAAATACGGCTAACATAAGAGTAGCTTACCGGAAGGGAAGCATTGTGCGCTCTGCACTGGTGCAATTTTAAGGACCCCTCTCCAGCGATCAGAATCAGGGACTGTGTCTACGAGATTAAGTGTAACGACTGCACCAAGGTCTATATAGAACAGAGAGCTAGAGAAATTCACACTAGAATCGGGGAGCACAGGAGAGAAGTAAAAACGCACATGAATATCGAAAGTGACTGAAAGACTCGGCAATGGCAGAACATGTTGGGGTTTTATGCGGGGGGACTGCGGCCTACGTCACAGAGAGTGGTGGCCGTGGCGGTGTAAATCGACAACCATTCCAGTAAAATAAAAGATGTA